GTACTTTTCTTTGTTTGACCTTGTACTATGATATTGTTTTGTCTAACTTTCTACACACCTCATTGTACTTTCTTTGTGATTGCTGTCATCCTATACATAGGGTGTTAACCTCATTTGGTCCTCACTTTAGGATATAAAAGACACCATATCAACACCTTCCAAAAATAAACTCACACCCCACCACACATAAATTACCAATTACCCTCACCTCCACATTTTTCATTTAACTTGATACAATAATTTCCTTTTCTATACAACAATTTCCTTTTCTATACATCTATTTCCAAACTGCGCTCATCTGCTAGGCTAGCTAAACCCACCTGCCAAATTTCTCTTGACTCCTGAGTCCACTGTTGTGCTGTTTAAATTGCTTCAATCTACATTTTTTGGCCTCAAATCCAAATGTTGACTGCAAACTTGTACTCCTCAAAGGTAATGGATGTATATGAAGTGGTCAGCCCTTCAATTCACCCACTATTCCAGTCTTATTTATCTGTGTATTTTCCATATCTTTCAACATCATTCTCCTCTAACAACACCAACTGTCTTTTTATCCAAATAATTTCAAACTCTCAATCTACAATTGATAAAGTTTCATACTTTGTGTGGTTACTCTGCTGACAAACACACAAATTCAAATAGAATTTAAACACACCCACTCAATCCAACACAAAAGCTACAGACTCAAAGCTAGGTTGATAGAATGGGTGATGCAACCACTGCACAGCCAGCATATTTGGCTTGGAGCCAAAAATCCAAGGATTCCTCGGATTCTGACTCCAAGTTAACCCCCATCCAAGGATCCAATCCGAGGCAACGGCCAGGGCCAACATTTGCCTCGGAATTAGCCCTCGGGTGCCCTTTTCCTCGGGGGCCAGCAATGCTGTGCAAATGTACCACAGACGAATTTTTTTTTGCCAAACTTTGAGAAAACAGCAAGGGGTAGTATCATTCATTGTACTTGATTGTAACAAAATTACCAAATCTATCTGCGGGAACAAGCAGAGACAATTATTCCAGGTAACCAAATGGTGCTATTGCCAATGCCGAGACAGCTGCGCTACAACAGGCTATTATAGATTCTGTGTGTAGCGTAGCTGTATGCAGTTAACAAGAATCTGATCTTTATGATAGTGTAACTTGTCAAGTTATGCTACACTACAAGCTACTGTAGCTGATTTTTGTGCCTCTACACTACACTACAGGGTCAAAATTGGTTAGCCGGAGATTTCTAGGGACTCTGCGTAGAGTAGCTGGAATTCATTCATGCTGATTCACATTAGCTGTAGGTTAGCGGCATGTTTTTAGCTACGATATCTTACATTGTCAGCTACAGGTAGATTAGCTATCTCAGTGTTGCTATTGCAAATGAACAAATCAAAACCAAGTACAACTTTTACATAAAAATTGAGTCCCCTGATAATATCAAGATAATAATTGACCCCAACTAATCAAAATTCAAATGCTTTTGCTTGTGGTAAAATTGTGGTTGGAATGGATAATTGTAATGCAACACCTAATGAAGGATGTCCAGTGGTTAAAAGTGTGATTTCCAGGTATATTGTGGGATATTACTGTGTCCACTCTCATAGTTCACTTTTCTTAGACACATTTCATATACATGTTGTGTGATAAATTATCACACTTTATAATTGATGTGTGATATAATTCTATCACCATCCTTGCTCTCTCCTTGCCTCGTGGTGAGGAGAGTGCTCATTGGGAAAGCGCGCGAAGCGTGCGTCAGATTTGGTTTACCAAAACCAAATTTCTGGTTCACCTGAACCAAATCTTTTGGTTCTGACCACCAAACCGTTGGTTTTTCGAAACCAACGTTTGTAAGCACCTTCTTGGCGACCCTTTTCCAGTTGAGTGGGGTTGACCGATGTCAGCCCTCGAGCTTTTGCAGAGCAAAAGCCAAAAGGACTTCAACTAA